TGTTAGCTTTCTATAGCTTTCTGTAGATTTTTGTAGCTCCCAGCAGGTTTCTTATTGGAATTTGTTAGCTCCAGCATGTTGGCCCGCGCGCTTGAAGCAGGCTGTTTCAAAGCGGTATGTTACATGTTTCAATGAGACTTGGCGTAGTCCCTGCCAGCCAGTCCCTTGTCAGTGCTGTTTTTTTTTTCCTCCGCGCCTTCGGCGCGGACGTGCCTGCTTTTTTTCTCCCAAAAGCATCTCTGATGCGATGGGTTCTCGTGTAGTCGAAGTTTTCCGCGATGGGAGCCTGGGTTGCAACCGGTGGCCGGCAGGTTTTTAAGTGCGAGGCTTGCGATCCAAGATCGGAACAAAGATCTTCGAGCGCCACTTTTCGGAGCCATCAGTGGGGGGGCACTTTGTGGACTTGCTTTTGGGTTCCCAGGCTCACCTTATTTCTCCGCGCCTTCGGCGCAGACTTAGTTTTAGTTACTCGGTGCTGCGTAACGCGGTAACGTGCCGTGTGTTGTCTCGTATTTGTTGGTCCTTCGTGGCGCGCCACTGTCCGTTCAAGTGTTGCCAAGCATGAGCCTGCAGGGGGGGGGGCACTTTCGGGGTCCGTGTTCACGCCTGCCTTGCGCGGACGAATTCTAGTTCCTCTCCTGTGCGCGCCCAGCGGTTATAAACAAGATGTTTCCAGCGTGCTCAGTCGGCAGCTCTGCGCGCAGAAGCAGTGTCGGTGGATTTGCAAGGTTGTGTGTGTGTGCGCGGGCGTCTCTGTATCTCTGCATTTGGGCGCATTTCGGACAGCAGTGTGTGTATGTGCTTCAGACGGCAGGGTTGCCAGCTTCAAGCCAGTCCCTGGCCGATGGCGGACTTAAGAAAGGAGATAGCCCGGCTCCAGAAGCGACAGCAAAGGGAAGCTTGGCATTTGGAGAGAGCTGGCCTAACCCCACGCCAGAAGAAGCTTGTTCTCACTGTGTACATGTGCAGCGGCTTCTGCGTGGATGCGGCGCAAGGCTTTGTGGAGGTTCTTCAACGCAAACGGAAATCTTGCCAGGGGCAGCCGACTCCTGATGTTGTTGAGTGGTTCAACTCCTTGCCAGAGGAGGAGATGGTGCGACTCTGCTGGCCGGAGGCGCCCGCTGATGAGCGCATCTTGGCCGAAGCTGAAAGGCATGTAGCAGGACTTCAGACTTCGCGCTGGGTGCAAGACATGAATTACAGCCGCGGCGTTGCCGTGCCAACTTACAACGTCGCAGCCGAATATCGGCGGCGTGCAGGAGGGCAGCAGCCAGCGCTGCAGAGCTCCATGCTTGGTCGTGATGGCCGGCGTGGCCGGCCCGGCCGCTATCTACGATTGTGGGCGCAACGATTTCGCGCCAAGTGGGGCCTTGCTTACCAACGTATCCCGGCATGCTCTTTTCCTTCTCCTGCCGAGGAACGTGAGAAAGGCTGGCCGGGAACAAACACGCGTGCTGGCGCATGTTTATCTTTTTTCAAGCGACCTTTGCCTTGAAGAAACGCCCAGGGGGGGGGCTAAATTTTGACCCTTCTTCCTGCTCTACCCAAAAGAGTAAATCTCTTGCGGGGGGAAAAAACTTGCCCCCCGCTTCTGGTCTTCCCGAAAGACGAAATCTCTTGCGGGGGGCCAAAACCCGCCCCGCCAAAACTGGCTCAAAATGCGCCCCCGCGCCCTGCCAGGCAAAGCTGTTTTTCCATTGGATAGACTGGCTTGAGCAGCAAGCTGGAGTGTTCCACAAAGAATTGGCCTTTGTCAACCTGGATGAGTCTTCTCTTCAGCTATCCTTTCTGCACGAGAAAGGCACGGTGGTGAAGCGGTCTCAATGGCGACAAGGAGTGGGGCCAAAGCGGGCGCGCCCGTCTCGAGGCGCTGTAACTTTGATTTGTTTGAGTTCGGCAGACCCTGCTCTGCAACGGCGGCTGCGCCAATACTTGGTTGGAAACAAATCCATATTCTTGCAAAAAGATTTGCGGGCTGTGCGCGACGCGCAGCCAGAGAACATTCGTGTTTTTCGTGAGACATCATCCTGGGCAACGAGCCAGTTGATCACCGAGGTGTTGTCAGATCTGGAGACTCTGGCTGCTTCGTTTCCTTCCAAGCAGCTGTGCGTTGTGATGGACAGCGCCGCGCAGCACCTGAGTGAACGCGTGGTGCGAAGGGCTGCCGAGGCCAATATCTGGCTTTGCGTGGTGCCGCCGAAAGCCACAAGCTACATGCAACCCCTCGATGTGCAAACCTTCAGTCTTTTGAAACATCATCTGAAAGACAAGTTCACGGAGGTGGCTATGTCTGCCGCAGGCGGTGTTGTCTCGCGACAAGCGTGGCTTCGCGTGCTCTTCGGCCTGTGCGAGTTTATGAACAGCCGAGAGCGGCGAAGAGGCTTTGAAGCATGTGGCATTTGTGGCCGGGGCAACCTTTCCACAGAGCTTTCTAGGCTAGGTCTTGCAAACTACAGGGCAGCCGCCGTAGGCGGAGTTGTGCCCATGCCAGAACCTCACATTTTTGCTGGCCACTACTCTAAGAGCCTGGTCCGTCAGTTTTTTTTGCTGTTGCAGCCAACGCTCCCGGTCTTAGACTAAGGGCTTGTTCCATGTGTGCAGTAAGCGCAGGGCGTACCGTCATGCACAGTGGAGGATCTAGCGTGTGTCTGCGAAACAGGGCCATTTTCGGGGACCGATTTCGGGTCCGCTTTACCGCGCACATGCCTTTTGCTTGTAAGTTGCCAGAGGAAAGGAAAGGGATGCCAGGCCAAGATCACGCAACCGTTTGAGCGTTGGACGTGTAGTCGGAGTTGCGCGAATGCCTGGGGATCAAGACCAGGAAGGCTGCGTTTCACGCTTGTTTTCCTGTTGGGGCTGCCGCTGTGGCTGCTGCCGGCGTTGCCAGAAAGCGCAACGGCAACGCAGCGCCGCCGGGGGTAAAATGAATCCAGCTTATGTTTGGGCTGCAGGCCTGTTGCGTGCAGATTGTGAAGCAACTTTGGCAAGCAAGGTGATTGCGATGTGTTGCTTGCAGCGTGAAGCTCAGAAACTGCGAAGCCTGCAGGACACAGCCCATGGAAGGATCCAACGCTCCAGCGCCTCCTGCGGCTCCTGCCTTTACATCAAGCCAGGAAAAGTTGCCAGAGGAGAAGGAGAAGTTGAAGGAGAAAGCTCCAGCATCAGCGTCTGCCACAGCTTCTGCCACTCAATCAGTTTTGCAAAAGCTGAAAGAGAAGCGTTCGATGCTCGCAGCCGAGAAGCGGCAAGTTGCCAAGCAAGTCCGCAAGGAAGCGAAACGCCTGGCCAAAATTAAGAAGGCCCTTGGGCGCTTGACAGAGTCGGAGATGCGCGAATGCCTGGAGAAAAAAACCAAGAAGGCTGTGTGAGTTTCGCCTATGCCGAATGCCTGGAGATCAAGACCAATTGTGGCTGTGTGATTTTCACGTGTGCTGAATGCCTGGAGAAGAAGACCAATGTGGCTCTCTAGCTTTGCGCTTGTTTTCCTCTTGGGGCTGCCTGCTTGAATAGGCGTTGCCAGAAAGTGCACCCGATGCGCGCTCGTAAAAGTTGAAAAAGAAGTTGGCGCGTGGCTTTTGTTTGAGTAAGAGCGTGTCCCACGGATGGTCAGTCAATCCATGCTTTGGGTTTTCACCAGTTTGGGGGTGGGCGTGGCATGAGCAGACATGGCATGTTTGGTTTCTTGACCGCGTGCAGGGTTCTTGCTCGCGTGGGTGTGTTTGCGCAGCGCTTAATTGCGTGCCTGTGTGCATGATGAAGTTTTTGTGCTTGGGCGTGGCCAAACTTGTTCAAGCCTTTGCTTTGAAGCCATTTTCTCGCACGTTTTGGCGTTTTGGCGGTGTGAGGCGCGTGTGAGCTGCAACTGTCCGATTGTTTGTGTGGAGCAGGCGTCGCATGTTTGACAGAATATTTGCAGTGTGAGCCATGTGCGCAGTTTTGAAAGGAAGCCCTGACGCATCCCCTTTTTCCCCTTCCTTCGGGTGTTCCAAGCGTTTCCCAGAGAGAGAGAGGAGAGAGAGTGTGTGTGTGTGGTGTGAGGCTTTGGGCATGGCCTTGTTCCATAGCGTGTGTGTGTGTGTGGTGTGTGTTTGTTCCCCGGAACAAACGTCGGAAATCTGCTTGGGTGTCACAGATGTGGCTTTCGACAGCGTGATAGGGTGGCCAGCAGCGGTGCACACGGGGTTGCCGTTGTTGTTTGGGGCTTGTGTTCTGTGGTACCGGAGCTTCGCGCTCGTAGCTGACGGTCCTTCCACAGGCCAAAATGCAGCTCCCTTCCCCCAACGGGTCAGAAATGTGGCACACGGAGCTTTGACAGGGTGCAGTCAGTGACCCGCAGCGGGCTGGACTTCCCACGCGCGTGTCGGCGTTGTTATTGAGCTTGTGCTCTGTGGTAGCGGAGCTCCGCGCTCAAGCTGACCGTCCTTCCACAGGGGCCACCGCAGCTCCCCTCCCCCTTCCCCCCCTTCCCCCCCACCAAGACAATGATGTGGAGGTGAGGAGCGTGTGGCCGGTCAGATAGAGGTTCGGGGTGGGAAAGTAGGCGCAGCCTGTGCGCTTTCCTCTGCCTGCCGGTCGGGGGCCAAGTCTTTGCAAGGCCCTTTTCCAGAGGAAGCGCCGTGGAAAGCGCCTGGCTGGGAGATGTTGCAATGTCTTGCGTTTATGGGCTGGACTTGTGGCGGGGCTGGCAGTGTGCTTAGGCCTCTTACGCGCGCGCAAAGAGATTCTGCATCATTCTGCATCATTGATGTGACGGTGGAAGTTGCGTCGTGACGTTGGATTGTGGATTCCGCCTCAAATCATTGTTAGGTTGGGGCACGGGGAAGGGTGACTGGCTGCAGCCCCGTTAGGATGGGGTACGGGGAAGGGTGACTGGCTGCAGGCCAGTGCCCTTGTGCGCAATGAGCGGCAGCAGTGGCTCCTTCACTAGAAGCAGCAGCAGCAGTAGCTCCACAAGTTCTGATTCCCTGGCATCTTCAGAAGTGCCCGAGCATCCCGCCGAGGAGGAAGTCTTGGATTTGGAGGAAGGTGCTAGCAGTGGCGATGAAGGCTGCGACCGATTTGCGAACATGTCGGCAGCAAAGCCAGACCTGAGCTACCGAGGCCACACAGTCCATTTCTGGACGATCCCGTACTCAGCCATCGAGGGCCGTTTGACTGCAGAAAACACATCCAAGAAGGGCATGCTGCGGCGTTTTCAAGAAGTCTACGGCGAGGCTTTGGAATTCTACGCTGTTTTCCGGGAACTGCATGCTGAATCCTCACGAAGCTGGGAGCGCAAGGCTCACTACCATGTGGTCTTGAAGCTGAAGGGCCGTGTCCGGTGGATTCAGATTGCCCGCGAGCTGCGCGCCAGGGGCATCTTCGGGCATTTGTCCTTGCCGACCAGGTATGCAGATATCTGGCGCATTGTAGCGTATTGCTATGTGCCTTCTGCCAGGAAGCCCTTGCCAGAACTTGATCCCGATCCCTTGCTGAGCTCAAACTTCCCCATTATTGACATGGAGAAGCGGCTCCGCGGGAAGCTTGCCAGAACACAAGTTCTGAGGCCATGGGATTTTTTCCAAGTCTTGCGAAGACACCCGAGCATCGAGACCTACAACGACCTCATTGTCTGGGCGCAGTCCCAGCAGAAGCACGGGGTGCCTCAATACTTGGAGTTTATGACCAGGCAAGGTGGCAAGATGTCTGGGCTCTTCAAGGCATGGAAGCAGCTCATGGCTAAGCCTGTGAGCCAAAAGTCGCAACGGGAGGAGCGATTGGCTTCAAGGCAGGCGCCCTGTTCTTGCACAACGCCAGGCCGCTTGAGGTCTGGCCTGGATGCCTTGATGGAGCTGCACGAGAAGGATGGTGAGAGGTTTGGCTACTTCGTCAAACGGCTTATCCGCATTGGGACAGCGGCCAAGAATTGCAACATCTTGCTTTGCGGGGCTTCCAATGCGGGGAAGACTGCCCTCACAAGGCCGTTGATGGCTATGTTTTCTCACCGCTGCTGGATGCGTCCTAACAAGGGCGACACGTTCCCCTTAGAGTCGTTGCAGGACAAGCTGATCAGCTGCTGGCAGGATTGGAGGCCAGGGGCTTTGTTTTTAGAGGTGGCTGCTAGCTTTTAAAGGGAGGGCCGTTGGGGGGCCAGTTGGCCGCGACTGTCAATCTGTGTTGCGCAGGCAGAATTCCTGCCCGGTGGCCTGGGACACCCTGCTCTTGCTTCTGGAGGGCGAAGCTGTGGTAGCTGCTTGCAAGGGCTCGGCGTCGGTGGTCATTTCCGAGCCGCCGCCTTTTCTCATCACGTGCCAGGAGCGCGTTGTGCCGCTAGATGCGAATGGTCGCCCCAATGTTGCCGAGAAGGATGCCTTCCACAATCGGTTTGCCTTGCGGTGGCATCTGAAATGCAGCATTCCGTCTTCAATGAAGGATTCGCAAAGGAAGATGTGCTACCGCTGCGTGCGTTGCTACTCAGACTGGGTGGATGAGAAGCACGCTGCCTATGCAGAGAAGGCCCCGGACATCGAGGCAGAGACTGCAGCGCTGGAATCGGCCATCTGCCAAGAGGACTCAAGGGTGCCCGCTTTGCAAGAAGAAGAAGAACTTTCAGGGGCCACGACCCAGCCGTTGCTGGCCGCGCAGTCTGCTGACCCGCGTTCATCGCAGTTGCAGCCATCCGGTGCAGCGGTTCGGCCTCAGCCAGCGCAGCTAGACGAGTTGAATCCCGCCGAGGAGCTTAAAGGCGATGGCTCCGAACCTTTCCAAGATCGACGAGTTCGCCCCCGGCTCGAGCCGGCCGTTGCTTCTTCACCGGCACCGGCGGGAAGAAGGCAACCAGCCGAGCCAGCCCTTGGTGCCTTCCCATGTGGAGATGCTGCCTGCTCCACGAACGCCTGAGCCGTGGACCCCACCGTACCCGCCTCCAAGGACGCCCCCCATCGTTTCGCAAGCCGTCAAAGGCAGCGGTTGGGTGGAGGTGAGCCCTCTGCACGCCCGCCGTGATTTGCAATAGTGTTGCAAAACGCCAAGGAACTTCCCGTTGGCAATTGGCTGCAAAGACGTAAGCCCATTGCCGGAGCATGTTACACGCCGCGCAAAAGGCGTGCTTTTTGTTTAGGTCTTTGTCCGGCCAGATGTCCTCGGGTGCATTGCGCGGGCGTGTGCAGGTGGTTCTGCTTGCTGGCTGAAAGGGTGTTGGAGCTCCCGCAGTTGACACGTCGGAGTTGACGTCCTTGCGACAGTTGTGATAGGGTGGCAGTCAGTAGCGCTCACGGACTTCCCGCGCGCATATCGGCGTTGCTTTCAATGCTTTTGCCATTGACGCGCGCAGGCTTCCCGCGCGTGTTGGCGTTGTTTCAACTGCTTTGGTCCCAGGTGCATGAGAGAGCCCTGGTTAAGGGCTAAGTAAGGGCTAAGTAGCAAGGCTTCTGGCCTACACAGTGCCTCTTGCTTGGCGTCGCTGTGCAAGTGTGTTCGTGCTTGCGCGGGCGCGTGCGCGCGCGCGCGTGTGGCTGCGAGCGTGTGTGCGCGCGCAGCGGCGTAAACCCGTTACCTTCACTTGTTTTGTTGCTTACGCGGGCGCGTGCGCGCGCGCGCGCGTGGCTGCGAACGTCTGGCGTGCGCGTGGGCGCATGCACGTGTGCGCGCGCAGCGGCGGAAACCGGTTACCCTCACTTGTTTTGTTGCTTGCGCGGAACGTGCGCGCGCGTGGCTGCGAGTGTGTGTGCGCGCGCGTGGGCGCATGCATGTGTGCGCGCGCAGCGGCGTAAACCAGTTACCCTCGCTTGTTTTGTTGCTTACGCGGAACATGCGCGCGCGCGTGTGCGCGCGCGTGGGCGCATGCATGTGCGCGCGCAGCGGCGTAAACCAGTTACCCTCGCTTGTTTTGTTGCTTACGCGGAACATGCGCGCGCGCGCGTGGGCGCATGCATGTGTGTGCGCGCAGCGGCGTAAACCTGTTACCCTCACTGGCTTTGTTTGTCAGAGGTGAAAGTCTTGGATTTGTTGAAGACGGGCTGCCGCAAAGGCGTTTGCCAAGCATGTTTTCATTGATCAAGAACGAAAGTTAGGCCATCAGCAATTTGATTTTTGTGGCTAGGGTGCACATCCTGATCTGCTTTGACATCCTTACTGGAGATCGTGCCAGCGCTACTACCATCAATTGTGGCACGGCGTTTAAGGTTTTACCTTTGGTACATGTTTGCCAGCAAAAGCGTTTTGCCTCCAAAGAGACTACAAAGAAACTCAACCTTGGATTCCCATCAAAGCAAGAATTGAAGCCTGCGCACAGCTTGCAAAAAGGGAACTGAGGTCCTATCTGGTTATTCCTGCACGTCTGCGTCCGTGCAGGCAAGACTTGGCTCGATTTCTGGAAACAACCGTCTTTCCTGCGAGAAGAAAACACACTGTGCCACCAGTCAATGGTGCAGATCGAGAGGGATAGTTGGGGGCATTCGTATTTCACTGTGACGTTCTTGGATTTGTTAAAGGCGGACTTCTGCGAAAACATTTGCCAAGGATGTTTTCATTGATCAAGAACGAAAGGTAGGGGGTCGAAAGAAGCAGATACCGTCCTAGCCTTGACCATAAAGCCACAGATTGGATTGAACGACTCCTTCAGCACCTCACGAGAAATCAAATTCTTTGGGTTGCCGAATTTCGGGGGGAGTATGGTCGCCCGCCTGTATTGGTTGGTTGGTTTTTCGCTTTTGGCTCAAGTGAGCGCTGCCGCGCTTTGTCCAACCAAGCTGGAAGAAGCAATCCGATCTTGGGTTGCGTTGGCCCCTGTGGTCCGGATTGGTAATGGATTTTGTAGGCCCCGGATCTATTCCTGCGATAATCCTGTTGGTGAAGGCCCTGGGATTGTTGGTGAAAGTGTGATGAACAGACACAGCCCCCGAGGGGCTAGTTCTTTAACTGCCTCGGGTCTCAGAAAGCCTTGGTGGAGGGTTAGTTTTCATTGCTCCGGATTTTTGGGGACCTTGGCCCAGCTTTGCGCGGACTGGTCTCAGGCGAATTTCTGTACATTGCGAAAATTTCAGAGAGCAACCGAGCAACCTTGTCAAGCAGAAAAAAACTGTCCAGCAAAACTTTTTCTTTATTGCTCCGAAGTTGCTCGGTTGCACCTCAATTTCATTCACTGTTTTCGCGCTGGCCAGGGCCCAACGACTGACGACAAGGCCTTGAAGAGCTGGTAAAAACATCTCGCAGCCAGGACCGGCCTATCCGCCCTGCTGAAAACCGACAGCCCGGCAGCAAAGGCTGCGGCAGCAAAGGCTCCCAAAAAAAAAAATCCGCCTTACGGAAAAGCGCCAGTCCGGCAGCAAAGGCTGCCCAAAAATACCGCCTTACGGAAACAGCGCCAGTCCGGCAGCAAAGGCTGCCAAAAAATCCGCCTTACGGAAAAGCGCCAGTCCGGCAGCAAAAGCCGCCCAAAAAATCCGCCTTGCTGAAAAGCGCCAGTCCGGCAGCAAAGGCTGCCCAATAAATCCGCCTTACGGAAAAGCGCCAGTCCGGCAGCAAAGGCTGCCCAAAAAATCCGCCTTACCGAAAAGCGCCAGTCCGGCAGCAAAGGCTGCCCAAAAGATCCGCCTTCAACGGAAAAGCTCCAGTCCCGGGCACAAAAGTTGCCCAAAAAAATCCGCCTTGCGAAAAAACGACAGTTCCGGCAGCAAAGGCTCCCAAAAAATTCCGCCTTAGAAAAGCGCCAGTCCGGTCAAGCAAAGGCAGCCCAAAATTCCGCCTAAAACCGAAAAACGCCATCCGGCAGCAAAGGCTGCCCCAAAAAATCCGCCTACGAAAGAAAGCGCCAGTCCCGGCAGCAAAGGTTGCCCAAAAAATCCGCCTTAATTAAAAGCGCCGGAAAGCGCCAGTCCCCGGCAGCAAAGGTGCCAAAAAAAAAAAAATATCCGCCTTACGAAAGCGCACAGTCCGGCAGCAAAGGCTGCCCAAAAAATCCGCCTTACCGAAAAGCGCCAGTCCGGCAGCAAAGGCTGCCAAAAAAATCCGCCTTACGGAAAAGCGCCAGTCCGGCAGCAAAGGCTGCCAAAAAATCCGCCTTACTGAAAAGCGCCAGTCCGGCAGCAAAGGCTGCCACATTTGTTAGATTTTTTTTAGCATTTGTTAGCTGTTGTTAGCTTTTGCTAGAGTTCGTTAGCTTTTCGGAGCTTTTGGCGCCATTTGTTGCCTTTTTGTAACCGGCAAGCAGGTTTTGGGGGGGGGGGGCTGCAAACACTTTGTCACGCTGGGCTGCCCTTAATAATATGCGTGAAAATGTGACACAAAAACCCTCGCCGCCATGAGCGTTGAACAAGTGCATGACATACAGTAAACATGTTTGCAGAATGTGGCCAGGCGAGCAGATTCATCAGGGCCAGCGAAGACTAGGATTGTTCTGCGTTCCTCCATAGGTGCTTTTGAAGAGGCCCCGCGTTCCGCGCTAAGCAACTGAAAAAAGCGTATCTTTGGGGACGGAGGCAACGACCCACCAACCCCAAGGCCGCCCAAGGGTACGTTTCTTTCCAAACAGCCGGGGGAAAGGGTGGACTGCCTCATAACGAGGCATTTTCTTTTTGTTGCCAGTTCATGCTCTTGAAAGCCTTGTTGGATTTTTTGCTGCACAGTTGCTGCGTTAGCCTTTTTTAGCTTTTGTTAGTTGTCTGTTAGCTTTCTACAGCTTTCTGTAGATTTTTGTAGCTCCCAGCAGGTTTCTTATTGGAATTTGTTAGCTCCAGCATGTTGGCCCGCGCGCTTGAAGCAGGCTGTTTCAAAGCGGTATGTTACATGTTTCAATGAGACTTGGCGTAGTCCCTGCCAGCCAGTCCCTTGTCAGTGCTGTTTTTTTTCCTCCGCGCCTTCGGCGCGGACGTGCCTGCTTTTTTTTCCCAAAAGCATCTCTGATGCGATGGGTTCTCGTGTAGTCGAAGTTTTCCGCGATGGGAGCCTGGGCTGCGACCGGTGGCCGGCAGGTTTTTAAGTGCGAGGCTTGCGATCCAAGATCGGAACAAAGATCTTCGAGCGCCACTTTTCGGAGCCATCAGTGGGGGGCACTTTGTGGACTTGCTTTTGGGTTCCCAGGCTCACCTTATTTCTCCGCGCCTTCGGCGCAGACTTAGTTTTAGTTACTCGGTGCCGAGTAACGCGGTAACGTGCGCGTGTGTGTGTCTCGTATTTGGTTGGTCTTCGTGGCGCGCGCCTGTCCGCCAAGTGTTGCCAGCGATGAGCGCTGCAGGGGGGCACTTTCGGGGTCCGTGTTCACGCCTGCCTTGCGCGGACGAATTCTAGTTCCTCTCCTGTGCGCGCCCAGCGGTTATAAACAAGATGTTTCCAGCGTGCTCAGTCGGCAGCTCTGCGCGCAGAAGCAGTGTCGGTGGATTTGCAAGGTTGTGTGTGTGTGCGCGGGCGTCTCTGTATCTCTGCATTTGGGCGCATTTCGGACAGCAGTGTGTGTATGTGCTTCAGACGGCAGGGTTGCCAGCTTCAAGCCAGTCCCTGGCCGATGGCGGACTTAAGAAAGGAGATAGCCCGGCTCCAGAAGCGACAGCAAAGGGAAGCTCGGCATTTGGAGAGAGCTGGCCTAACCCCACGCCAGAAGAAGCTTGTTCTCACTGTGTACATGTGCAGCGGCTTCTGCGTGGATGCGGCGCAAGGCTTTGTGGAGGTTCTTCAACGCAAACGGAAATCTTGCCAGGGGCAGCCGACTCCTCATGTTGAGTGGTTCAACTCCTTGCCAGAGGAGGAGATGGTGCGACTCTGCTGGCCGGAGGCGCCCGCTGATGAGCGCATCTTGGCCGAAGCTGAAAGGCATGTAGCAGGACTTCAGACTTCGCGCTGGGTGCAAGACATGAATTACAGCCGCGGCGTTGCCGTGCCAACTTACAACGTCGCAGCCGAATATCGGCGGCGTGCAGGAGGGCAGCAGCCAGCGCTGCAGAGCTCCATGCTTGGTCGTGATGGCCGGCGTGGCCGGCCCGGCCGCTATCTACGATTGTGGGCGCAACGATTTCGCGCCAAGTGGGGCCTTGCTTACCAACGTATCCCGGCATGCTCTTTTCTCCCTGCCGAGGAACTTGTGGAGAAGGCTGGGCCGGAACAAACACGCGTGCTTGCGCATGTTATCTTTTCAAGCGACCTTTGCCTTGAAGACGCCGGGGGGGGGCTAATTTTTGACCCTTCTTCCTGCTCTTCCCAAAAGAGGAAATCTCTTGCGGGGGGCAAAAACTCGCCCCCCGCTTCTGGTCTTCCCGAAAGACGAAATCTCTTGCGGGGGGCCAAAACCCGCCCCGCCAAAACTGGCTCAAATAGCGCCCCCGCGCCTGCCAGGCAACCCGCTGTTTTACCATTGGATAGACTGGCTGCGCAGCAAGCTTGGAGTGTGTCCACAAAGAAAAGGCCTTTGCAACCAGGATGAGTTTCATCTACAGCTATTCCTTTACTGCACGAGAAAGGGCACGGTGCATCTGCGGTCCTCAATTGGCGACACCAACAAGACATAAGCGGGGCGGCCGCCCGTCATCGACGGGCGCAGTAACTTTGAATTTGTTTGAGTTCGGCAGACCCTGCTCTGCAACGGCGGCTGCGCCAATACTTGGTTGGAAACAAATCCATATTCTTGCAAAAAGATTTGCGGGCTGTGCGCGACGCGCAGCCAGAGAACATTCGTGTTTTTCGTGAGACATCATCCTGGGCAACTAGCCAGTTGATCACCGAGGTGTTGTCAGATCTGGAGACTCTGGCTGCTTCGTTTCCTTCCAAGCAGCTGTGCGTTGTGATGGACAGCGCCGCGCAGCACCTGAGTGAACGCGTGGTGCGAAGGGCTGCCGATGCCAATATCTGGCTTTGCGTGGTGCCGCCGAAAGCCACAGGCTACATGCAACCCCTCGATGTGCAAACCTTCAGTCTTTTGAAACATCATCTGAAAGACAAGTTCACGGAGGTGGCTATGTCTGCCGCAGGCGGTGTTGTCTCGCGACAAGCGTGGACTACCGGGGGGGGGGGGGGGGGGGGGGGGGGCGTGCTCCATCGGCCTGTGCGAGATTATTTAGAATTTTTTATGATTTTTTATCTTGGTTTTTTTTTTGTTTCCAGCATGAACAGCGAGAGAGGCGACGATGGGCAAAGTCGCCCACACCCCCCAGGATAGGCTCGGAAGGAACCCTTTCAGAAGAGCTTTTCTAGGCTAGGACTAGCAACACAACAGGGCAGCCGCCGTAAGGCGGAGTAGAGCCCATGCCAGCCCCTACATATTTAGCTGGGCCCACAACTCTAAGAGCCTGGTCCGTCAGATTTATTTGCTGTTGCAGCGCCCCAACGCTCCGTATCTTAGACAAAGGGATATAATCCATAGATGAGCAGTTAAAGCGCATGGCGATACCGTCTGCACAGTGGAGGATCTAGCGTTGTCTGCGCAACAGGGCCCATATATTGGGGGACCGAATTCGGGTCCGCTTTACCGCGCACATGGTTTTTGCTTGTAAGTTGCCAGAGGAAAGAAAAGGGATGCCAGGCCAAGATCACGCAACCGTTTGAGCGTTGGACGTGTAGTCGGAGTTGCGCGAATGCCTGGGGATCAAGACCAGGAAGGCTGCGTTTCACGCTTGTTTTCCTGTTGGGGCTGCCGCTGTGGCTGCTGCCGGCGTTGCCAGAAAGCGCAACGGCAACGCAGCGCCGCCGGGGGTAAAATGAATCCAGCTTATGTTTGGGCTGCAGGCCTGTTGTGTGCAGATTGTGAAGTAACTTTGGCAAGCAAGGTGATTGCGATGTGTTGCTTGCAGCGTGAAGCTCAGAAACCTGCTCTGCGAAGCCTGCAGGACACAGCCCATGGAAGGATCCAACGCTCCAGCGCCTCCTGCGGCTCCTGCCTTTACATCAAGCCAGGAAAAGTTGCCAGAGGAGAAGGAGAAGTTGAAGGAGAAAGCTCCAGCATCAGCGTCTGCCACAGCTTCTGCCACTCAATCAGTCTTGCAAAAGCTGAAAGAGAAGCGTTCGATGCTCGCAGCCGAGAAGCGGCAAGTTGCCAAGCAAGTCCGCAAGGAAGCGAAACGCCTGGCCAAAATTAAGACGGCCCTTGGGCGCTTGACAGAGTCGGAGATGCGCGAATGCCTGGAGATTAAAACCAAGAAGCCTGTGTGAGTTTCGCCTATGCCGAATGCCTGGAGATCAAGACCAATTGTGGCTGTGTGATTTTCACGTGTGCTGAATGCCTGGAGATGAAGACCAAGTGGCTCTCTGAGCTTTGCGCTTGTTTTCTTCTTGTGGCTGCTGCTGGCGTTGCCAGAAAGTGCAACGGCGATGCGGCGCTGTAAAGTTGAAAAAGAAGTTGGCGCGTGGCATTTGTTTGAGTAAGCGTGGTCAGACGGATGTCAGTCAACCATGCTTTGGCGTTTTCACAGTGCGTGGCATGAGCAGACATGGCATGTTTGGTTTCTTGACCGCGTGCAGGGTTCTTGCTCGCGTGGGTGTGTTTGCGCAGCGCTTAATTGCGTGCCTGTGTGCATGATGAAGTATTTGTGCTTGGGCGTGGCCAAACTTGTTCAAGCCTTTGCTTTGAAGCCATTTTCTCGCACGTTTTGGCGTTTTGGCGGTGTGAGGCGCGTGTGAGCTGCAACTGTCCGATTGTTTGTGTGGAGCAGGCGACGCATGTTTGACAGAATATTTGCAGTGTGCGCCATGTGCGCAGTTTTGAAAGGAAGCCCTGACGCTTCCCCTTTTTCCCCTTCTTCTGTGTTCGTGCGTTTCCCAGAGAGAGAGAGAGAGAGAGTGTGTGTGTGTGTGTGAGGCTTGGGCATGGCCTTGTTCCTTAGCGTGTGTGTGTGTGTGTGTTTGTCCGTCCGGAACGGTCGGATCTGCTTGGGCTCACAGAATGTGGCTTGCGACAGCTGTGATAGGGTGGCAGGCAGCGGTGCTCACGGGGTTGGCGTTGTTTTTGGGTAGCGGAGCTTCGCGCTCGAGCTGACGGTCCTTCCACAGGCCAATGCAGCTCCCTTCCCCCAACGGGTCAGAATGTGGCACACGGGAGCTTTGACAGGGTGGCAGTCAGTGACCCGCGCGGGCTGGACTTCCACGCGCGTGTCGGCGTTGTTATTCAGCTTGTGCTCTGTGGTAGCGGAGCTCCGCGCTCAAGCTGACCGTCCTTCCACAGGGGCCACCGCAGCTCCCCTCCCCCTTCCCCCCCACCAAGACAATGATGTGGAGGTGAGGAGCGTGTGGCCGGGCAGATAGAGGTTTGGCGGCCACGCGGTCCAGGGTGGGAAAGTAGGCGCAGCCTGTGCGCTTTCCTCTGCCTGGCGGTGCGCGCGCGTGTCCGGGGCCAAGTCCTTGCAAGGCCCTTTTCCAGAGGAAGCGCCGTGGAAAGCGCCTGGCTGGGAGCCCTCTGCGAGGATGTCACCCCTGCGAGGATGTTACGATGTCTTGCGTTTCTGGGCTGGACTTGTGGCGGGGCTGGCAGTGTGCTTAGGCCTCTTACGCGCGCGCAAAGAGATTCTGCATCATTCTGCATCATTGATGTGACGGTGGAAGTTCGTGACGTTGGATTGTGGATTCCGGCTCAAATCATTGTTAGGTTGGGGCACGGGGAAGGGTGACTGGCTGCAGCCCAGTTAGGTTGGGGCACGGGGAAGGGTGACTGGCCGCAGCCCAGTGCCCTTGTGCGCGATGAGCGGTAGCAGTGGCTCCTTCACTAGAAGCAGCAGCAGTAGCTCCACAAGTTCTGATTCCCTGGCATCTTCAGAAGTGCCCGAGCATCCCGCCGAGGAGGAAGTCTTGGATTTGGAGGAAGGTGAAGGCTGCGACCGATTTGCGAACATGTCGGCAGCAAAGCCAGACCTGAGCTACCGAGGCCACACAGTCCATTTCTGGACGATCCCGTACTCAGCCATCGAGGGCCGTTTGACTGCAGAAAACACATCCAAGAAGGGCATGCTGCGGCGTTTTCGAGAAGTCTACGGCGAGGCTTTGGAATTCTACGCTGTTTTCCGGGAACTGCATGCTGAATCCTCACGAAGCTGGGAGCGCAAGGCTCACTACCATGTGGTCTTGAAGCTGAAGGGCCGTGTCCGGTGGATTCAGATTGCCCGCGAGCTGCGCGCCAGGGGCATCTTCGGGCTTGTCCTTGCCGACCAGGTATGCAGATATCTGGCGCATTGTAGCGTATTGCTATGTGCCTTCTGCCAGGAAGCCCTTGCCAGAACTTGATCCCGATCCCTTGCTGAGCTCAAACTTCCCCATTATTGACATGGAGAAGCGGCTCCGCGGGAAGCTTGCCAGAACACAAGTTCTGAGGCCAGGGGATTTTTTCCAAGTCTTGCGAAGACACCCGAGCATCGAGACCTACAACGACCTCATTGTCTGGGCGCAGTCCCAGCAGAAGCACGGGGTGCCTCAATACGTGGAGTTTATGACCAGGCAAGGTGGCAAGATGTCTGGGCTCTTCAAGGCATGGAAGCAGCTCATGGCTAAGCCTGTGAGCCAAAAGTCGCAACGGGAGGAGCGATTGCGCTACTGGCAGGCTTCAAGGCAGGCGCCCTGTTCTTGCACAACGCCAGGCCGCTTGAGGTCTGGCCTGGATGCCTTGATGGTGCGCGAGAAGGATGGTGAGAGGTTTGGCTACTTCGTCAAACGGCTTATCCGCATTGGGACAGCGGCCAAGAATTGCAACATCTTGCTTTGCGGGGCTTCCAATGCGGGGAAGACTGCCCTCACAAGGCCGTTGATGGCTATGTTTTCTCACCGCTGCTGGATGCGTCCTAACAAGGGCGACACGTTCCCCTTAGAGTCGTTGCAGGACAAGCTGATCAGCTGCTGGCAGGATTGGAGGCCAGGGGCTTTGTTTTTAGAGGTGGCTGCTAGCTTTTTCAGGGAGGGCCGTTGGGGGGCCAGTTGGCCGCGACTGTCAATCTGTGTTGCGCAGGCAGAATTCCTGCCCGGTGGCCTGGGACACCCTGCTCTTGCTTCTGGAGGGCGAAGCTGTGGTAGCTGCTTGCAAGGGCTCGGCGTCGGTGGTCATTTCCGAGCCGCCGCCTTTTCTCATCACGTGCCAGGAGCGCGTTGTGCCGCTAGATGCGAAGGGTCGCCCCAATGTTGCCGAGAAGGATGCCTTCCACAATCGGTTTGCCTTGCGGTGGCATCTGAAATGCAGCATTCCGTCTTCAATGAAGGATTCGCAAAGGAAGATGTGCTACCGCTGCGTGCGTTGCTACTCAGACTGGGTGGATGAGAAGCACGCTGCCTATGCAGAGAAGGCCCCGGACATCGAGGCAGAGACTGCAGCGCTGGAATCGGCCATCTGCCAAGAGGACTCAAGGGTGCCCGCTTTGCAAGAAGAAGAAGAACTTTCAGGGGCCACGACCCAGCCGTTGCTGGCCGCGCAGTCTGCTGACCCGCGTTCATCGCAGTTGCAGCCATCCGGTGCAGCGGTTCGGCCTCAGCCAGCGCAGCTAGACGAGTTGAATCCCGCCGAGGAGCTTAAAGGCGATGGCTCCGAACCTTTCCAAGATCGACGAGTTCGCCCCCGGCTCGAGCCGGCCGTTGCTTCTTCACCGGCACCGGCGGGAAGAAGGCAACCAGCCGAGCCAGCCCTTGGTGCCTTCCCATGTGGAGATGCTGCCTGCTCCACGAACGCCTGAGCCGTGGACCCCACCGTACCCGCCTCCAAGGACGCCCCCCATCGTTTCGCAAGCCGTCAAAGGCAGCGGTTGGGTGGAGGTGAGCCCTCTGCACGCCCGCCGTGATTTGCAATAGTGTTGCAACGCAAGGACTCCCGGTTGGCATTGGCTGCAAAGACGTAAGCCCATTGCCGGAGCATGTTACACGCCGCGCAAAAGGCGTGCATTTTGTTTAGGTCTTTGTCCGGCCAGATGTCCTCGGGTGCATTGTGCGGGCGTGTGCAGGTGGTTCTGCTTGCTGGCTGAAAGGGTGTTGGAGCTCCCGCAGTTGATACGTCGGAGTTGACGTCCTTGCGACAGTTGTGATAGGGTGCAGTCAGTAGCGCTCACGGACTTCCCCCGCGCATATCGGCGTTGCTTTCAATGCTTTTGCCATTGACGCGCGCAGGCTTCCCGCGCGTGTTGGCGTTGTTTCAACTGCTTTGGTCCCAGGTGCATGAGAGAGCCCTGGTTAAGGGCTAAGTAAGGGCTAAGTAGCAAGGCTTCTGGCCTACACAGTGCCTCTTGCTTGGCGTCGCTGTGCAAGTGTGTTCGTGTTGCGCATAGGGCGCGAGGCGCGCGCGATGTGTGGAGCGTAGTGTAGCGCGGTCGCAGCGGCGAAAACCCCGGATCTCTTCACTGTTTTGTTGCTTTACACATACTGTGCGGGGTGCGCGTGCGTCGCGCGCGCGCGTTGGCTTCTGCGAACGTCTGGCGTAGACGACAGTTGGGCGCATGACGTGTGCGCGCGCAGCGGCGGAAACCGGTTACCCTCTCTTGTTTTGTTGCTTGCGCGGTTCGTGCGCGCGCGCGTGGCTGCGAGTGTGTGTGCGCGCGCGTGGGCGCATGCATGTGTGCGCGCGCAGCGGCGTAAACCAGTTACCCTCGCTTGTTTTGTTGCTTACGCGGAACATGCGCGCGCGCGTGTGCGCGCGCGTGGGCGCAAGCATGTGCGCGCGCAGCGGCGTAAACCAGTTACCCTCGCTTGTTTTGTTGCTTACGCGGAACATGCGCGCGCGCGCGTGGGCGCATGCATGTGTGTGCGCGAGCGGCGGTTAACCCTGTTACCCCTCAATGGCTAAGTTTTGGTCAGGCGGTGAAAGACTTGGATTATGTTTTGAAGCGGGCTGCGCAAAAGGGCCGATTTGCCAAGCATGATTTTTCATTGATCCAAGACGAAAGTTAGGCCATCGTATGGGCAATTATGGATTTATGGCTCGGGAGCCATCTGGCTCTGCTCTGCTTTGACATCTTACTGGAGATCGTGCCAGCGCTTCATTGTGTGGCACGGCGTTTAAGGTTTTACCTTGGGTACATTTTTGCCAGCAAGCGTGTTGTTGCCTGCAAAGAGACGTACAAGACTCAGACTTGGATGCCCATCATGAAGATGAAGCCTGCGCACGCTTGCAAAAGGGAACTGAGGTCCTATCTGGCTATTCCTGCACGTCTGCTTCCGTGCAGGCAAGACTTGGCTCGATTTCTGGAAACAACCGTCTTTCCTGCGAGAAGAAAACACACTGTGCCACCAGTCAATGGTGCAGATCGAGAGGGATAGTTGGGGGCATTCGTATTTCACTGTGACGTTCTTGGATTTGTTAAAGGCGGACTTCTGCGAAAACATTTGCCAAGGATGTTTTCATTGATCAAGAACGAAAGGTAGGGGAAGGGGTCGGAAAGACGCAGAACCGACCTCGGAGCTTGACCATAAAGCCACATATTGGATTGAACGACTCCTTCAGCACTCACGAGAAATCCATTCATTGGGTAGCGAATTTCGGGCGGGGGGGCGGTAAGGTCGCCCGCCTGTTATAATGGTTTGGGATTATTTTTCGCTTTTGGCTCAAGTGAGCGCTGCCGCGCTTTGTCCAACCAAGCTGGAAGAAGCAAGCCGATCTTGGGTTGCGTTGCGGCTGCGGCCCCTGTGGTCCGGATTGGTAATGGACTTTGTAGGCCCCGGATCTATTCCTGCGATAATCCTGTTGGTGAAGGCCCTGGGATTGTTGGTGAAAGTGTGATTAACAGACACAGCCCCCGAGGGGCTAGTTTTTTAACTGCCTCGGGTTTCAGAAAGCCTTGGTGCAGGGTTAGTTTTCATTGCTCCGGATTTTTGGGGACCTTGGCCCAGCTTTGCGCGGACTGGTCTCAGGCGAATTTCTGTACATTGCGAAAATTTCAGAGAGCAACCGAGCAACCTTGTCAAGCAGAAAAAACTGTCCAGCAAAACTTTTTCTTTATTGCTCCGAAGTTGCTCGGTTGCACAGCCTCAATTTCACTGTTCTGCGCTGGCCAGGCCCACCGCCTGGGCAGCAGGCCTTGCAAGCTGGTAGCTTGCAAAGGCTGCCAAAAAATCCGCCCTGCTGAAAACCGCCCGTCCGGCAGCAAAGGCTGCCCGGCAGCAAAGGCTGCCCAAAAAATCCGCCTTACGGAAAAGCGCCAGTCCGGCAGCAAAGGCTGCCCAAAAATTCCGCCTTACGGAAACAGCGCCAGTCCGGCAGCAAAGGCTGCCAAAAAATCCGCCTTACGGAAAAGCGCCAGTCCGGCAGCAAAAGCGGCCCAAAAAATCCGCCTTGCTGAAAAGCGCCAGTCCGGCAGCAAAGGCTGCCCAAAAAATCCGCCTTACGGAAAAGCGCCAGTCCGGCAGCAAAGGCTGCCCAAAAAATCCGCCTTCCCGAAAAGCGCCAGTCCGGCAGCAAAGGCTGCCCAAAAATTCCGCCTTACGGAAAAGCGCCAGTCCGGCAGCAAAAGTTGCCCAAAAAATCCGCCTTGCTGAAAAGCGCCAGTCCGGCAGCAAAGGCTGCCCAAAAAATCCGCCTTACGGAAAAGCGCCAGTCCGGCAGCAAAGGCTGCCCAAAAAATCCGCCTTTACGGAAAAGCGCCAGGGGACCGGCAGCAAAGGTTTTGCCCAAAAAAAAATCCGCCTTACGAAAAGCGCCAGGTCCGGCAGCAAAGGCTGCCAAAAAAAATCCGCTTACGGAAAAAGCGCCAGTCCGGGCAGCAAAGGCTGCCAAACAAAATCCGCTACTGAAAGCGCCAGACGGCTAGCAACGGCAGCCAAAAAATCCGCCTTACTGAAAAGCGCCAGTCCGGCAGCAACTGTCTCTAAAAAATCTCGCCCACATACTGAAAAGCGCCAGTCCGGCAGCAAAGGCTGCCACATTTGTTAGATTTTTTTTAGCATTTGTTAGCTTTTGTTAGCTTTTGCTAGAGTTCGTTAGCTTTTCGGAGCTTTTGGCGCCATTTGTTGCCTTTTTGTAAACTTCAGCAGGTTTTGGGGGGGGGAGGCTGCAAACACTTTTGTCACGCTGGGCTGCCTTAATGCGTGAAATGTGACACAAAACCCATCGCGCGCCATGAGCGTTTTAGCTGAGAAGCAGTAACATGTTTGCAGAAATGGCCAGGCGAGCAGTTCAGGGGCCAGCGAAGACTAGGGATTGTTCTGCGGTGTCTCCATAGGTGCTTTGTAAGAGGCCCGGCTCCGCGCAAGCAACTGAACGTATCTTGGGGACGGAGGCAAGCGACCCAGCCACCCAGCCGCCCAAGTGAACGTTCTTCCAAACATGGCGCGGGGTTAAGGGTGGACTGCCTCATAACGAGGCATTTTTTTTTTGTTGCCAGTTCATGCTCTTGAAAGCCTTGTTGGATTTTTTGCTGCACAGTTGCTGCGTTAGCCTTTTTTAGCTTTTGTTAGTTGTCTGTTAGCTTTCTATAGCTTTCTGTAGATTTTTGTAGCTCCCAGCAGGTTTCTTATTGGAATTTGTTAGCTCCAGCATGTTGGCCCGCGCGCTTGAAGCAGGCTGTTTCAAAGCGGTATGTTACATGTTTCAATGAGACTTGGCGTACTCCCTGCCAGCCAGTCCCTTGTCAGTGCTGTTTTTTTTCCTCCGCGCCTTCGGCGCGGACGTGCCTGCTTTTTTTCTCCCAAAAGCATCTCTGATGCGATGGGTTCTCGTGTAGTCGAAGTTTTCCGCGATGGGAGCCTGGGTTGCAACCGGTGGCCGGCAGGTTTTTAAGTGCGAGGCTTGCGATCCAAGATCGGAACAAAGATCTTTCGAGCGCCACTAATCGGAGCCATCAGTTGGGGGGGCACTTTGTGGACTTGCTTTTTGGGTTCCCAGGCTTCACCTTATTTTCTCCGCGCCTCGGGCGCAGATTTAGTTTTAGTTTACTCGGTTGCTGCGTAACGCGGTAACGTGCGCTGTGTTGAGTCTTCGTATTTGGTTTGGTCATCGAGGCGCCGCGCCCTGTCCGTCATGTGTTGCCAAGCGATGCGCGCTGCAGGGGGGCTTTGGGTGCGAGCCACCTTTTTCGGGGTCCGTGTTCACGCCTGCCTTGCGCGGACGAATTCTAGTTCCTCTCCTGTGCGCGCCCAGCGGTTATAAACAAGATGTTTCCAGCGTGCTCAGTCGGCAGCTCTGCGCGCAGAAGCAGTGTCGGTGGATTTGCAAGGTTGTGTGTGTGTGTGCGCGGGCGTCTCTGTATCTCTGCATTTGGGCGCATTTCGGACAGCAGTGTGTGTATGTGCTTCAGACGGCAGGGTTGCCAGCTTCAAGCCAGTCCCTGGCCGATGGCGGACTTAAGAAAGGAGATAGCCCGGCTCCAGAAGCGACAGCAAAGGGAAGCTCGGCATTTGGAGAGAGCTGGCCTAACCCCAAGCCAGAAGAAGCTTGTTCTCACTGTGTACATGTGCAGCGGCTTCTGCGTGGATGCGGTGCAAGGCTTTGTGGAGGTTCTTCAACGCAAACGGAAATCTTGCCAGGGGCAGCCGACTCCTGATGTTGTTGAGTGGTTCAACTCCTTGCCAGAGGAGGAGATGGTTGCGACTCTATGCTGCCGGTAAGGCGCCCCTGATGAGGCATTTGGCCGAGTGATGAAAGGCCTGTAGCAGGGATTCCGGACTTCGCGCTGGGTGCACGACATGAATTACAGCCGCGGCGTTGCGTGCCAACTATACAAACGTCGCACCGAATTCGGCGGCGTTTGCA